CCTGGATAAGGACCATAATGGGATGCTCAGTAAGGAAGAGCTGTCTCGCTATGGCACAGGAACTCTAACTAGTGTTTTCCTAGACCGCGTCTACCAGGAATGCTTAACCTACGACGGCGAAATGGTATAACACTCTGACTCTGACTCAATTAATGATTTACATTACACTAAGAGTTAGATGGGAGAAAATCCCTTATAACAAATGTTATCTGCTGTCAAAAATATATCTTTGTGGGCAGGGAGAACTGAGTTCAATTCCTATTTTCAGATATACATGTACACTACTGTTCAAATGTTTGGGGTTGGTAAGATTTTGAAATAAGTCTCTCATGCTCACCAAGGGTGCATTTATTTGACAATATTTTGATATTATTAAAATGTAATATAACTGTTTTCTATTTTAATATATTTTAAAATGTGATAAATTCCTGTGACGTCAGAGCTGAATTTTCAGCAGCCTTGATTTGGTTATCAAGAAACATTTCTTATTATTATCAATGTTGAAAACATTTGTGCTGCTTAATAATTTTGCAGAAATCGTGATTAATTTCTTTAAAAAACTAAAAACTTACTGACCCCAATCTTTTAAACCGTAGTGTACTTTTGACTTTGACCATGGAAAAAAAATTGTGAATGTTATTGTTACTCTGGAAAAAGACTTGAATACAGCCAAGCAGGTATTTGCCACTGAAAACAAGCATATGATATTCTTATATGCATGGAATTTCCTACATCATATCCATAAAAATTTTCAGTATCTAAAAACATAAACATGCATTTTTTTATGAACTAAACCCCCACCATTTAGGACTATAAGACATATCTAGACTTTGTGCTGGCTCTAGAGAACAGGAAAGAGCCTGCGGCCCTCCAGTATATATTCAAACTGCTGGACATGGAAAACAAAGGCTCCCTCAATGTATTTGCCCTCAACTACTTCTTCAGGGTAAGGAATCGAGCAAAAATATTTGTTGGCTTTAATATAAATAGGCATGTTATATATTTATACTAAGCAGAAACTAACCTATTCATCTGTGATATCAGGCCATTCAGGAACAAATGAAAATCCATGGGCAGGAGCCAGTTTCCTTCCAGGATGTTAAGGTAAATGGCCTTTATATAATAATAATAATAAAGCAGTCTATCAACAAGTAAAGAAGTGGGCGTTTTGGGTCATGAAATGGTGATCAAATGTTTGTGTATGCAGGATGAAATCTTTGACATGGTGAAGCCTAAAGATCCTTATAAGATCACACTACAGGACCTTGTGAACAGCGGTCAGGGTGACACCGTCACTAGTATCCTCATCGACCTCAATGGCTTCTGGACTTACGAGAACAGAGAGGTGCTGGTGGCTAATGACACTGACAGCAACACAGCTGATTTAGATGACACATGATGACAACACGTTCTGTTGCCAAATCAAGTTGTGCTATTGGACCAATTGTGCTTCTCCGAACGAGAAAAAAAAACTTCAGCCAAGAGGAATATACAGAATAGCTCAGTTGTATGTTGAATTGTTTATTAAGTAATAATATGTACAAAACAAACTGTATTTTTTCACCCTACATTATACAATGGTATGTGTGTTTTCACCTACATAATACAAAATTATTGTACACAAATAAATTATGCGCTCTACAAAATGAAATGCTTTTTTTGTGTCCGAGGGGTAGACAAATTGAACTCAAATCTAATGGGTAAAGCGCACATTTACACATACACTAAAAATAATATGTCCACATAAAAAGAATATTTGGTTAGAAAAATAACTTTTGAATGTTTGAATGACTTATGAAAGAGGGAAGAATCCCATCTGACAGTTTACTCGACAACTCCTAGCATCATCAGTAACAGAAATGTCTAATATTGTAAGTACTCACATTCTACAGAATTGTAAAAGATTGGTAGTCCATGCAGTTGTTATAGTGTTTCACTTCGGCTTTTTTAGATATTTATAATTATGTATATGTACAATGAATTGTTGTAGTGACTAAAGACTATGGAACATTATCTCCACTGAATAAAAAAATAATAAAGGTAATTGTGACTTTTTATTTGGAGTTTTTTTCTTGCAATTGTGTATTTATATCTCACAATTCAGGACTTTTTTTCAAAATCTGGAGTTTATATCTTTCAATTGTGAGGGGTTTTTTCTTCTTAAAATTAAGGTTAAGTATCTAAAAACAGTATCAAAAACAGAATTGCAAGATGTAAACTCAAAATTCCAAAAAAGGTTCAAATTGTGAGACGTAAACTCAGAATCCTGAGGGAAAAAGTCAGAATTGTGAGATGTAAACTCAGAATTCTAAGAAAAGTGTGATCTTTGAGGTGTAAATTAGCAATTACTTTTTAAAATATTTTTATTCCATTTTAGAAATAAGCTTCCATAGTAGTTTTATGTATGGCTTCGTAAAATGATAATTAAAACGGTTCTACGTTCTAAGCAGAACCATTGTCAGCTATGCATATGTTACCTTCATGTTCAACTTCGTGTAAGATAAACTTTCCCCTCCAAAAAAGGAACCTAACACACCTCATGCCTAAGGTTAATATGGTAAAGACCATCAAATATGCTCAATAAACCGAACAGTATTTTAGGAGGGAATGGGGGCAGGCACTTTATTTGCATCAGGTATAGCATGTGATTCCTGCTCCAGTTCAAAGGTCACATTCACAAAAGAAGCAGTTCCTTCTGGTTGCTCGATCTTTGGCTGCTGGCCCTCCTGATTGTGCTGCTCCTCAAAACGACGTTCTGCCTCCTCAGAGAGATGGTTCTCCTCCTCTTCTTCCTCCTCCTGCGGATTACACATTATTAGGGTGTCACAATGCGAAAGCTGTCCAAATCGCTCAACAATAATTGTACATGCTACTTTTGAGAATATTGGCTAATAAGTGAAGGCTGTAAAATTATAATAGCGGTGCACATACCTCTTTCTTCATCCTGTAGTACTCATCAATTGCATACTGATATTTTGGCGTCGTGATTCCCAGCAGTGAGGCCATTTTCTCTCCAAGATAGTCACAAACTGAAATATTTGGGTTGAAATGTTAAGTTTGGACGTTTTTGTATGACTAAATGTCACAGGCTGGAAAGAGTTTCATTACCCGAGATGGTTGAGGTAGCCACTCTCCACATTTGGAACCAGACGTATGGACCCCAGGTCAACTTTGACTATAATCAGAGATGCAAAGTGATCAAAAGCTGAAGGTGTTCAGAAAAGAAGCAACTGAAACCACTTTCATTTTCAATGATTTGATGCAACTCACTGGATCCCTTGAACTTAAAGGTTTCGCTTTCTCTGGAGGTTCTTCCTCCTCTTCATCTGTACTGTACTCCTCCATGGTTTCACCAGATGCGAAGTAGATTGTTCTGCGAGGAATCTTTGGCTTCTTTTTGCCCAGATCTCCAAGTTCAACATTTTCAAACTCCTTCACCGCTGCAGAACTCTAAACCAGCAGATAAATGTATATATTTAAATAGGGATGCACGATATATCGGCCACCATTTCGGTATCGGCCGATAAATGCTCATTTTTTCTGTTATCGGTATCGGCCCGATAAGAAAATTTGGCCGATATCTTAAAGCCGATAAATAATGCATTATTTCCTTCAGAGACACTTCAGATGCGCGCTGTTCGTTTGCAGCCTTTTGTGCAATTGTACGTAGTAATATTGTGTTTATTTGATGTATATCTGATTTATCTCATATAGAATGCGTTTGGTTAAGTTAAAAGAGCGCTTCAGTTTACCGGTGATAAACTCAAACAGCAGTGCACAACATTAATAACTATGATTGGGAATGTCGTGTATATAACATTCTAATGAGAACATTATTATAATAAAACGTTGTGAATTCTTTGGGGTTAGTTGCCGTGTTTCAGCGCGTTGTTATGGGAAGAGCGCATCCACAACAGGATCACACATTCTGACTATAGCACGCAATAACTGCATCATTTTGTACATATACAAGTTGTAATATTATGTTTATGTTGTATTAATATTAATCCCAGGATGCATTTCCTTGAGTTAAATAAGCTGCCAGCAAAACGCTTCAGTTTACCATGTTCATTCAGCTCTTCAGCTTCAGCAAGCGCAGCTCAAACGGCTGCTATTTAAAACAGTGGTATTAATTTGTTACTTTTTCAAAATCATTGATACATTATTAATAATAACAACCACTTGTATTTTCTATTATTATTTTCATCAGCAATATGGTTTAGTAATTAAAACCATTTAATTATTGTCCGTGCAGAGGCTATTCCGTTTTATTGATCTATGGCACAATCATTTTGATTCTTTACACGTGTAATGATGTCCAGTGACTTGTTTGCATTATTTATGCATTATTTTATTTATTTGTAAGACTTTTTTATGACTAAATTTGGTAATGGGAGAGTAAAAATATTTTTAAAACGTACACCGTTCAAACTAGGCTGCTTATGTTGAAGTGTTCGGGATGTGGTTTTTAATGATGAGACCTTTTTTGTAATCAGGCTCTCAAAAAGTATATAACAATTTGGATATAGATTTATCGGCCAACATATCGGTTATCGGCTTTCAAAAATAAAGAATAATCGGTTATCGGTATCGACCAAAATTTTCATATCGGTGCATCCCTAAAAAATAT